CTAGATCTTGGTGTCTGTTGCTTTCCCCAGATTAGGGAAGTTTTCTGTTATTATTCTTGAAATAAATTTTCTTACGCCTTTTCTCTCTCTTCTACTGGGACTCCTACACTGAGTTCCCGAGGTCTTGTCTCATTTTGCATAATTCTTCTTTCTCTCCCTTCTTCAGCTTTATTGCTTTCCATTACTTTGTCTTCTAGGTGATTAATTTGTTCTTCTGCTTCTTCCAGCCTGCTGTTCATTGCATCAGGTATGTTTCTAATCTCATTTATTGCACTCTTCATCTCTGATTCTTTTTTTTAATTCTTTTATCTCTGTTGTAAGGGTCTCACTGATGTCTTCCATTCTTTTCTCAAGTCCAGTGAGTATCCTTATGATCACTGCTTTAAATCCTCCATCAGGCATGATATTTATTCTGCCTCCATTAAATCTCTGGTCCCATGGCCTTATCCTGTTCTTTCATTTCAGATAAATTCCTGTTTTCTCATTTTGTCTACGTCTCTACCAGCTTCTCTGTGTTAGAAAAGCCAGTTATGTTACCTGCTCCTGAAAGTAATGGACTTATGAAAAAGACGTCATGTAGTGCCCAGGGTCTGGCACTTAGGGCAGTGTCCACAGTGTGTGCTGCATGCACTCTGCTGTTGTGTTCTGGCTGCTCTATCCTTTAGGCCAGTCATCTGCAGAGGCTCTCCCCACCTGCTGTGGGCAGTGTTTGGTACCTGGCTGGAATGTAGCAACTTTTAAATTCGGTGTGCTCTGGTGTGCTTGTGAAATGAGACCTGTCACCACCTCCACTGGAACTGAGGTCCTCCTGAATCTATTCAGGAGATGTGGTGTGGGCAGAGGTCTTCTGGGGGCGGGGGGGGGAAGGCCTGCTGTGCTGGAACTGAGGCAAGAATGATTGATCAGGGCAGTTCCACTGGAGTGCAAGGGGATGGTTTGATGTAAGCAAATTAGACAGCCAGTGTCAGAGCTGCACCGCTTCCCACAGGAGGCTCTGTGTTGGTGCTGAGGGGCAGTGGAGGGAAATGGCACCAGCTGGTTCCTTTGTTCCTAGAGAAGAATCTCCGTCAACACTGCCTCTCAGGGACATGCTCTGAGAAGAGTGAGTAATCTCCCCACTGTATGCCCCAGGCACTGTTCAGATCACTGTTTCCGTGCTGTATGCTCCCGGGTTGTTTACCTGCCTTCTCTCCAAGAGCAGCACAGTGCCCTACAGGCTCTATCCCAGCTAAGCCTGATGACCTTTAGAACTCCAGGCTTTAAGCCCCCCTCGTTGTAAGAACTCATGAAATTCAGCCCCTCTCATCTTCCAAGCCAGTGGGTATGAGGAAACGTTCTCTTTGGGCATTTCCATGTACTCCTCTCCTGCCCTTCTCTATGACCATGAATCCCTCCCCTCTATAACAGCCACGATCTGTTTCTCTCCTAAACCACATCTCTGTACTTCTACCTTCTTCGATGTGTCCTCTTCCCTCTTTAGTTGTGGAGTTTGTTCTGTCAGTCTTCAGGTATTAGGTGAACTTAGGCTCCTCTTACTCTGCTACCATCTTCCTTTCTCTCAAGACATTTCTCTAAGATATGCTTCAATTACAAATTATTACAACTAGGCAGGCATGCCCCTATAGATTTTCCCCTCAAGTTAGGGGAGAAGAAAGACCGGCAAGCAGAAAGACAATATGATTGCAAGTATAACAGCTGAAAAACTAGGAATAGTTTAATAACCAAAATTGGACCTTTTACCTGATCTCCATTAACTGAAATTCTAAAAGAAATAGCCAGCTTTGAGTATTTTTAAATCAATCTAATACTCAATCTTCATTCTCCTTTCATCAGTGAGGAAATAAAGAGAACATTATGGAATCATTTTTAATCTTTTCAGTAGCAAACCAAATGTACTGTCCATTGGCACTATTTAAATTAAATATAGGTGGTGCCTGGGTGGCTCAGTCATTAAGCATCTGCCTTTGGCTCAGGTCATGATCCCAGGGTCCTGGGATGGAGCCCACATCAGGCTCCCTGCTCCACGGTAAGCCTGCTTCTCCCTCTCCCACTACCCCTGCTTGTGTTCCCTCTCTCGCTGTGTCTCTCTCTGTCAAATAAATAAATAAAATCTTTAAAAAAATAATTAATTAAATATAATTTCTCCTTTATCTTATTCCAAGCTTGTTTATGTGGGGAGGTAAGTAAGACCATCTCATCTTTATGTTGTATCACAATGCTTTCCCATATCATACAAAACTGGCTTTGAAAATTTATGGCATTCAAATTGCTAATCTACTATTTGTCTCTGATAACTCAATTAAATACTACCTGATATTTTACAGCTGTATTCTTGAAATAATGTAATGAAATATTTATTCCATTAATTATTTATTGAGCTATTAAAGGACATATCTTTCTATTTAAAGTAAAAGAAGATGGATACAGACAACTGTATTTTCTGAGAATGTAGGATCTGTGCCAAGAACAGGATCAGCACCTGTGTTATACAGAAGAACCCGGTCAAAATAGTATCTAATTGTGAATTACAAGATGATGGATTACCAAGATTTCAAAACAGGAAAGCTGACAGCCCAGAGTTCATCTTTTCCTTCCTGGATGGTGAAATTTATAGATGAGTCTATGCTTTATAATAAGTTAATAAAACATAATGAAGTAACGAGTAGACAGCAGATCCTATGACCAAGATTTGATGGAAACGGATGTGGGAGGCACTGAGTGAGCGACTCAAGATATGAATGGAGAAAAGAACCAGAACTCTATCTTTTCGAGTCTGACTTCTCATCATATCATGGAGTCAGCAAGGCATAAGCTGGTAAAAGGCTCCTTCAAGAAGCAAAAAATTTCTACAGGAGTAAAGTTAAGTTCTACTACACTTTTATTAGTACATAAATGAGTGGTAAATTTGCAAGACGACTAGGGAAGAATTCTCATAAACTTTGATTGGGCAGTGACATAAGGATAGACATATAGATAAATGTATTAGAATTGACAATCTAAAAATAAACTGTCACATTATGGTGAATTGATTTTCCAATTTTAGTATATGTGCTGCCGAAGCGAGCACATGGTGAATTGATTTTCAACAAGGGTGTCAATTAAATGGAATAAGAATAGCCTTTTTAATAAATGGTAGTGGGACAAAGTAATAAAATTAGACCTCTACCTCATAGCACATATACAAAATCAACTCCAAATATAAGAGCTAAAATTATAAAACTCTTAGAAAAAAACATATCATTTGTGACTGGATTTGGCAATGGTTTCTTAGGACACCAAAAGAAAAAACAGATTAAGTATATTTCATCAAAATCAAAAACTTCTTTGCTTCAAATGTCACCATCAAGAAAGTGAAAAGGCAAGCTACTGAATAAGAGAAAATATTTGAAAAGCCTGTATCTGATAAGGGATTTGTATTTAGGATATACATAAATAACTCTTACAATAATGAAAAGACAATCCAATAAAGAAATGGTCAAAACAATTGATTCATTCTTTAAGGAAGATATAGAAATGGATAATAACCACATAAAAAGATGAGCTACTCAACATCATTAGTTTTTGTTTAGTTTTTTTTTCTAACGTTTTATTTGTTTATTTGACAGAGAGAGAGAGAGAGCACAAGCAGGGGGAGATGCAGAGGGAGAGGGAGAAGCAGGCTACCCGCTGAGCAGGGAGCCAGATGTGGGGCTCAATCCCAGGAACCTGGGGTCATGACCTGAGCCGAAGGCAGACGCTTAACTAATTGAGCCATCCAGGTGACCCTCAACATCATTAGCTTTAAGCAAAATACAAATCAAAGCCACAAGATCGATGGAACTCATCAAGTGTATTATGCTAAGCCAAACAAGTCAGTCAGAGAAAAATAAATACCCTATGATTTTACTCATATGTGGAATTTAAGAAACAAAACAGATGAACACAGGGGAAAGGGGGAAAAAAAAGAAGAGAAAGGGAGGCAAACCATAAAAGACTCTTAACTATAGAGAAAAAAACTAAGTGTTGCTGTAGTGGAGGTGGATGGGGGGTGGGCTAGATGAATGATGTACTTGTTGTGATGAGCACTGGGTGTTGTATGTAAGTGATGAATCATTAAATTCTACTCCTGAAACCAATATGTTAACTAACTAGAATTTTAAAACTTCAAACAAACAAACAAAAAACCCCACAAGATGCCATTTCCCACCCACTAGGATGGCTATAATAAAAACAACAGATAATGGCAAACATTGGCAAAAATCAGGAAAAATGAGAACCTTCAAACACTGCTGACGAAAATGTAAAATGGTGCAGCCATGTTGGAAAACCGTGTGGCAGTTCCTCAAAGGGTTAAAAAAAAAAAAGAAAAGGTTAAAGAGAGTTACCATATGACCCAGCAATTCCATTTGTAAGTATATATCCAAGAGAAATGAAAACATGTTCACACAAAAACTTGTACGTGTGTGTATAATAGCATTATTAACAACAGACGAAAAGCAAAACAATCTAAAGATCTACCAACTGATAAATGAATAAATTAAATGTCGTATGTCTGTATAGTGGGATATTATTAGCAATAAAAAGAAATAAAGTACTGACACATGCTACAAAATAGGTGTAACTTGAAAATATTATGCTAAATGAAAGAAGGCAGTCACAGAGGACCACATATTGTGTGATTCCATTGATATGAAATGTCCAAAATAGGCAAATTTATAGAGACAGAGAGTAAGTAGTGGTTCCCTAGGGCTAAGGAGAGTAGGGAAGGGGAACCTAGCATAGGGCGACAGGTAAAAGGTACAGGACTTCTTTACAGGGTAACAAAAATGTTCTAAAATTGATTGTGGTACTCTTCGAATTTGCACATTACGTTCATTTTATCTCAATAAAGCTGTTACCAAAAAAAAAAAAATGTAGCACGTATATAAAATTAATAGAAAACATTTCATTGCTCAAAGCACTGAGTGACTTATTTCCCAAAATTAAATGATTCTGGAGTCCCAAAACTAATTAAAAATTACCTTCTGTTTTAGCATATTAATCTGACTATCCATTTCAATTTGATTGGTTTTTGAATTTCCAGGGAAAGTAAGCTCTCTACCTTCATATTCACTTAACTTTCTCCTTGTCACGTTTAAGAGTTTCTTAAATCTGCGGAAGGTATAGAATGAGTAAGTCAGGTTTTTTAAGAGTAAATATTTAATAATTGTTTAAATAGATAATATGTTCTATCATATAAACAAATCTATAAATTATGATCTCTCATTTGTCCCAATCTCACATTGTTTAAGAACATACTAACTAAATTATAATCTCAGGTAAAAAATATGAAGAAAATTTTTATGACACAACTGGCAGAATTAATACTGTAACTATATTAAGAGTTCTTATACATAAGTTATTAATATTTATTTTCAGTATCTTAATAGAATCATCTATTATTAAATAGTGACTATAAACCAGAGACCAGTATCCAAGGTGAAGAAGAAAAGCATACTTATCCATGAATGTTTTAAAAAGACACAAAAATACATTTTGGTACCCACTAACCACAGTCTACAAGAAGAAAAGAAAATACATACAAAAAACATCAAAGGAGATCACTCACAAAAAAAGAAGAAAGAAAAATCTTTAAAGTCTGAGTTGAGAGGAAAAATGAAGAGACAAAGCTTTAGAAGAAAGGAAATCAGCAAAGAGATAATGTGTGATGGTCTATGAGACTGTTTCAGGAAAGAAGTTACATATCTTGGCTAGGACACTGTTAACAAAGTGAAAGGGTTGCAAAACAATGCAGAGAAAGACAGTTAAATGAGAGAATATCAGAGAACAAATTTGAGTAGTCAGCAAAAAAAAAAAAAAAAAAAAAAAAAACAGAAAGGGAGCCCTGTGGGAGCTACAGACATTGGAAAAAACTTTTTTTTTTTTTAATCTGAGTGGTAAAAGCATGATTGCTAATTTTATTCTTCTTTAAGTCAGACATATATTTTCCTCTGTATATTTTATAATTAAAAAATGCAGAAAGAAAATATAAGCAAGTTGAATCCAAAAAGATGGTGGAGGAGTAGGAGAGCTTAGTTTTGTCTGGTCCGGAACTCACTCGATAGCTATAAAATGATTTTGAACACCTGTGAACTCAACCGGAGATCTAAGAAAAGAATTGCCGCAATTCTACAAATAGAAAAGTGACCACGTTTGGGGAGGGTATGTGTTGTGGTGACCGCTGTGTATTATGTAAGACTGATGAATCACAGATCTGTACCCCTGAAACAAATAATACACTGTATGTTAGTAATAAAAAAAAAAAAGAAAAGCAACCACTTTCTGCAAGTCTTTTTTAACTTTCATTTTTACAATTACATTCTATCCTTTCATTGTATTTAATTTTATTTTTGTATATATATATAAGTTTTTCTTTCTTTACAATTTGGGATGTAGTTTTCTAACAAACAGACCCAAATACATACAGGATCCAGTGTATTTCTCTGTTCTGTTCACCTGATTATATTCTTTTTTCTTTTTTTTTTTTTTTTTTTTGGTCTGGGTCTCTTCTAATTTGTTTAGTGTATATTTCACTGGGGTTGTTGTTGCTCTTTTAGTATTTTGTTCACTCATTCATCTATTTTCTGGACAGAATGACAAGATGGAAAAACTCAGCTCAAATAAGAGAACTAGAGGCAGTAAAGACTGCCAAGGACCTAATCAGTATGGACATAAGAGGTCAGAACTAGAGTTCAGAATGACGATGATAAAGATACTAGCTGGGCTTGAAAAAAGTATAGAAGACACTAGAGAATCCCTTTCTGAAGAAATAAAAGAATTAAAATCTAATCAAGTCAATATCAAAAAGGCTATTAATGAGATGCAATCAAATATAGAGGCTCTAAAAAAATAGAGGCTCTAACTGAGAGGATAAATGAGGCAGAAAGGAGAAGTAGTGATATACAAGACAAAATGACAGAGAATAAAGAAGCTGGGGAAAAAGAGAGATAAACGACTGGATCACGAGGTGAAATTTCAAGAGATAAGTGATACCATAAAGCGGAACAATAGTAGAATAATTGGGATCCCAGAAGAAGAGGAAGGGGGGGTGGCAGAAGGTGTGTTTGAGAGATTAGAGCAGAGAACCTCCCTAATCCGGAGAAGGAAACAGGCATTCATATCCAGGAGGCACAGAAAACCCCCTTCAACATCAATAAAAACAGGTCAACATTTCGATATATAGTAGTGAAGCCTGCAAATTTCAGAGACAAAGAGAAAATCCTGAAAGCAGCTCAGCACAAGAGGTCCTTAACCGACAAGGGTAGAAACATTAGACTGGCAGCAGACCTAACCACAGAGACCTGGCAGGCCAGAAAGGACTGGCATGATATATTCAGGGTGCTAAACGAGAAAAATATGCAGCCAAGAATACTGTATTTATCCAGCAAGGCTGTCATTCAAACTTGAAGGAGAAAGAAAGAGTTTCCAGGACAAACAGAAACTAAAACATTTGTGATCACTAACCCAGCCCTGCAAGAAATATTAAAGGGGATCCTTTACGCAAAGAGAGAGCCCCAAAGTAACACAGACCAGAAAGGAACAGAGACAATATACAGTAACAGTGATATAACAGGTAGTACAATGGCACTAAATTCATATCTATCAATAGTTACCCTGAATGTAAATGGGCCAAATGCCCCAATCAAAAGATGCAGGGTATCAGATTGGATAAAAAAGCAAGACCCATCGATATGCTGTCTGCAAGAGACTCATTTTAGACCCAAGGACACCTCCAGATTGAAAGTGAGGGAGTGGAAAACCATTTATCATGCTAATGGACATCAAAAGAAAGCTGGGGTAGCAATCCTTGTACCAGACAAATTAGATTTTAGACCAAAGACTGTAATAAGAGATGAGGAAGGACACTATCATAATGACTTAAAGGGGTCTATCCAACAAGAAGATCTAACAATTGTAAATATGTGTGCCCCTAACATGGGAGCAGCCAATGACATAAACCAATTAATAATAAAATTAAAGAAACACCTTGATGATGATACAATAATAACAGTGAATGACACACTGGACTGTGGGAAACAGACCTCCACAACAACCACTGGTGCATGTTCGTTCAGACTCCGAGATCTCTGAGAAAACTCGATTTGCTGGGTTAAAAATAAGCCGAAAGGATCAGAGTGAATTGCCCTTGGGACGTGTGTGGTCTGTTCTAAAGTACGCAGCAGAAGATGTTTTGTAGATAGGAAGCCACCTGTAAACAGCACACTGTGCACTCCCCTCTTGGTTCCCTTGCCCTGTAAATAGCACACTGTGCACTCCCCTCTTTGTTCCCTTGTCCTGCTTTAAAGATTCTTATCATACATGCGGGACTAATCCTATGTACATGGAAGAATGTGCCTTACTAAGCCCATGCTGTAAATCATTAGAGATCTATAGCGCTGTAGAAGGTATATAAGATTATGGAAAATAAACCTCGGGACCTTGGGCTGATTGCTCGGGGTCCCCTGTGCCTCGCAAAACTGGCATCTCTTTTCCTCAGTTCCTTCACCGCCCCAGGTCCACGACTCTCTGAGGTCGACACTGGACCAGATGCACTTCACAGATAGATTCAGAGCATTCCAACCTAAAGCCACAGAATACACATTCTTCTCGAGTGCACATGGAACTTTCTCCAGAAGACATCACATACTGGGTCACAAATCAGGTCTCAACCGGTACCAAAAGTAGGGGATCATTCCCTGCAGAGTTTCAGACCACAACGCCTTGAAACTTGAACTCAATCACAAGAGGAAATTCGGAAAGAACTCAAATACATGGAATGTAAGAGCATCCTATTAAAGAATGAATGGGTCAACCAGGAAATTAAAGAAGAATTAAAAGAATTCATGGGAACAAAGGAAAATGAAAACACAACTGTTCAAAACCTTTGGGATGCAGCAAAGGCAGTCCGGGGAGGGAAGTAGAGAGCAACAACAGCCTTTCTCAAGAAACAAGAAAGGTCCTAAATACACAACCTAACCTTACACCTAAAGGAGCTGGAGAAAGAACAGCAAATAAAGCCGAAACCCAGCAGGAGAAGAGAATTAATAACGATCAGAGCAGAAATCAATGAAATAGAAACCAAAAGAATAGTAGAACACAGCAACGAAACTAGGAGGTGGTTCCTTGAAAGAATTAATGGGATCGATAAACCCCTGGCCAGACTTAGCAAAAAGAAAAGAGAAAGGATCCAAATAAATAAAATCATGAATAAAAGAGGAGAGATCACAACCAACACCAAGGAAATACAATTTCAAGAACATATTAGGAATGACTATATGCCAACAAATTAGGCAATCTGGAAGAAATGGATGCATTCCTAGGGAGGTAGAAACTACCAAAACTGAAACAGGAAGAAACAGGAAACCTGAACAGACCCACAACCAGCAAGGAAATTGAAGCAGTAATCAAAAATCTCGCAAGAAACAAAACTCCAGGGCCGGATGGCTTCCCTGGGGAGTTTTAACAAACACTTAAAGAGGAATTAATGCCTATTCCTCTGAAGCTGTTTCAAAAAATAGAAATGGAAGGAAATCTTCCAAACTCTTTCTATGAGGCCAGCATTACCTTGATCCCAAAACCAGACAAAGACCCCACCAAAAAGGAGAATTACAGACCAATATCCCTGATGAACACGGATGCAAAAATTCTCATCAACATACTCGCTAATAGGAGCCAACAGTACATTAAGAGGATTATTCACCCCAACCAAGTGGGACTTATTCCTGGGCTGCAAAGGTGGTTCAACATCCGCAAATCAATCAACGTGATATGCTACGTTAATAAAAGAAAGGACAAGAACTGTATGATTCCTTCAATGGATGCAGAAAAAGCATTTGACAAAGTACAGCATGCTTTCTTGATTAAAACTCTTCATGGGGCGCCTGGGTGGCTCAGTCAGTTAAGCGGCTGCCTTTGGCTCAGGTCATGATCCTGGGGTCTTGGGATCGAGCCCCACGTCCGGCTCCCTAATCAGCAGAAAGCCTGCTTCTCCCTCCCCCTATGCCTGCCGCTCTGTCTACTTGTGCTCTCTCTCTATCTCCCTGTCAAATAAATAAATAAAATCTTTAAAAAAACAAACAAACAAACAACTCTTCACGATGCACGGATAGAGGGCACATACCTCAATACCATAAAAGCCATGTATGAAAAGCCCACGGCAAATATCATTCTCAATGGGGAGAAACTGCGAGCTTTTCCCTGAAGGTCAGGAACACGGCAGGGATGTCCACTCTCACCACTGCTGTCCAACATAATACTAGAAGTCCTAGCCTCAGCAATCAGACAATGAAAAGAAATAAAACGCATGGGAATTGGCAAAGAAGAAGTCAAACTCTCACTCTTCGCAGGTGACATAATACTCTATGTGGAAAACCCAAAAGACTCCACCCCCAAATTGCTAGAACTCATACAGGAATTCAGCAAAGTGGCAGGATATAAAATCAATGCACAGAAATCTGTTGCATTTCTATACACTAACAATGCGACAGAAGAAAGAGAAATTAAGGAGTCAAACCCATTTACAATTGCACCAAAAACCGTAAGATACCTAGGAATCAACCTAACCAAAGAGGCAAAGGATCTGTACTATGAAAACTATAGAACACTCACGAGAGAAATTGAGGAAGACGCAAAGAAATGGAAAAACACTCCATGTTCATGGATTGGAAGAACAAATTTGTTAAAATGTCTATGCTACCACTACCCAGAGCAATCTGTGCATTCAATGCAATCTCTATCAAAATACCATCAACTTGTTTCACAGAGCTGGAACACATCATCCTAAAATTTGTACGGAACCAGGAAAGACCCCGAATAGCCAAAGGAATGTTGAAAAAGAAAACCAAAGCTGGTGGCATCACAATTCCGGACCTCAAGTTCTATGACAAAGCTGTAATCATCAAGATGGTATGATACTGGCACAAAAACAGACACATCGGCCAATGAAACAGAACAGAGAACCCAGAAACGGACCCTCAACTCTATGGTCAACTAATCTTCGACAAAGCAGGTAAGAACAGCCATGGGAAAAAAGACAGTCTCTTCAACAAATGGTGTTGGGAAAAGTGGACAGCCACATGCAGAAGAATGAAACTGGACCATTTTCTTACACCATACACAAAAATGGACTCAAAATGGATGTAAGACCTAAATGTGAGACAGGAACCCATCAAAATCCTGGAGGAGAACATAGGCAGCAACTTGTGACCTGGGCCACAGCAACTTCTTGCTAGACACGTCTCCAAAGGCAAGGGAAACAAAGACTTCATCAAGATAAAAAGCTTTTGCACAGCAGAGGAAGCGGTCGACAAAACCAAAAGACGACTGACAGAATGGGAGAAGGTATTTGCAAATGACATGTCAGATAAAGGGCTAGTATGCAAAATCTATATAGAAGAACTTATCAAACTCAGCACCCAAAGAACAAATAATCCAGTCAAGAAACATGGAAGACGTGAACAGACATTTCTCCAAAGAAGACATTCAAATGGTCAACAGACACTTGAAAAAATGCCCAACATCACTTGGCATCAGGGAAATAAATACACATCAAAACCACAATGAGATATCAGCTCACACCTGTTGGAATGGCTAAAATGAACAAGTCAGGAAACAACAGATGTGGCAGGGATGCAGACAACGGGGAACCCTCTTACACTGCTCGTGGGAATGCAAGCTGGGACAGCCACTCTGGAAAACAGTATGGAGGTTCCTCAACAAGTTGAAAATAGAGCTACCCAGCGACCCAGCAATTGCACTACTAAGGATTTACCCCAAAGATACAAATGTAGTGATCCGAAGGGGCACCTGCACCCCAATGTTTATAGCAGCAATGTCCACAATAGCCAAACTGTGGAAAGAGCCCCGATGTCCCTTGACAGATGAATGGATAAAGAAGATGTGTAGATATATACAATGGACTATCACTCAGCCAATAAAAAAAATGAAATCGTGCAATGACGTGGATGGAACTAGAGGGTATTTTGCCAAATATGTCAGTCAGAGAAAGATAATAATCATTTGATTTCACTCCTATGTAGAATTTAAGAAACAAAACAGAGGAGCATAGGGGAAGGGAGGGGAAAATAAAACAAGATGAAATTAGAGTGGGAGACAAATCACAAGAGACTCTTAATCATAGGAAACAAACTGAGGGTTCCTGGAGCATAGGAGGGGAGAAGGATGGGGTAACTGGATGATGGACATTAAGGAGGGCACCTAATGTAATTAGCACTGGGTGTTATATAAGACTGATGAATCACTGAACTCTACCTTGGAAAATAATATACTTTATGTTGGTTAACTGAATTTAAATTTAAAAAATAATATTAAAAAAAAGAAAATATAAGCCAAACCAAGATAACTTTTGATATGATTAAACAGTGACACAGGTTTTTAGATATTAAAATACTTGTTGGAAGGGAAGAACACTATTAAAAGGAAATATTACCAAAGAACAAAGATATCTTGCAGAAACTCTTCAAAATGGACAATGAAAATTACAGTTGTTATTGTTAAAGGAACTATTGTTATTATTTATGTTATTTATATTATGTTATTTATATTATTATATTTATTTTATAATTATATTATTATATAATTATAATATATAATATATTATATATAAATATATTATATAATTTATAATTATATTATTAATATAATATAATTATATTAATATATTTATATTATGTATTTATATTATTATTTAAGGAATCATTAAAGAGTAAGTGTAATATTTTGGCAAGTATTTGTATTTAATAAAGTAAAATTACAGTTAAATCCGTTAATTAATGGTTAAAATTATCTGAAATATTACAGTCTTACCTAGTCATCTCTTTTTCTAATTCACCATTTTTCTTCATTTCTTGATCCAAACTACATTCCAGAGATTGTTTCAACTCAATACATTTCTTTTTTTTTTTTTAAGATTTTATTCATTTATTAGACAGAGAGAGAGAGAGAGCACAAGCAGCGGGAGTGGCAGGCAGAGGGAGAAGCAGACTCCTCGCTGAGCAAGGAGCCCGATGCGGAACTCGATCCCAGGACCCTGGGGTCATGACCTGAGCTGAAGGCAGACGCTTAACTGACTGAGCCACCCAGGCGTCCCTCAACTCAATAAATTTCTTTATCTGTCCCTTTTCTTCATCAGACTTTGAAAATAATTTTTAAAGAAAATTATATTTAAAAATCTAGATACTCATTCTTCTCTCATAAAATATTATTTCTCATGAATTCATAAGTAATAACGTGTTTAGAAAGGCTCATATACTACATTTTATACATTTTATAAATTTATAATTTTAAATTTATATAATATAGTTTAAAATTTATAATTTTAAGTTTTATATAATATAGTTTTATAAACCTGATGCCAATAATACAAATTTCAAATATAAGGACCTTTCTTAAAAACAGCTTAAACTGATTTTACATTTTCATCATTATTTTTTCTAGAATTTAAACTGCCAGAATTTACTTGTTAAATACAGAGGTTCTTACCCATATTAATACTAAGTGTTAATGAAAAATTTAAAAAAGTGGTTATATTTACATTTTAGTTTCTAAACATGCCCTAGAAACATTTTCATCCAAAGCTTAAGATACTCTGGGTTTTGTGAGATCATACCTTTTTAAGATAATCTCTGAAAAATTCCTATGCAGTCCCCATGACAGTTTTGATGATCGTCTGACTTTAGAAACTTTCGATGTTTCTTTGGCCACAAAAAGGACCAGTCAACAGAATGTGCTACTTCCCCTGATAGGTATAGCTGTATAATGAAATTTGCAAGGATGCAGCTTCTGTGACTAAAAGAAACTAGTGGTAGGTGCATCTACCTCATTGTTCCAACCTAGGACTCACAATGCAGTCTTCTCATCTTAAATCATTGGTAGCCTCTCCTATGAAGGAGGGTATAAATGGCATGATAATCCGGTTCTGCTTGGTAAATAGTTATATACTTTGCACTACGTATCAATAAGTTGTAATCCCGGATTGCACATTAATCTTTTCTGAGATTCGATTGCTAAATCTCTGAAAGGCTGATTAACTCAAATTAATGAAAAAAAAAAAAAAAGTTCCTGAACTTGCAGTGAATGCTAGGAGCACTATGTTACTATGTAAGGCCCTGATTGAGCAGTCATTTCCACTTTTTCACTAGCATCTCTTTTCCTTTTCAAAATCCAACAAAGAGAAAAATATATTCCTTTGAGAAAAATGTTTGCATAATGACCTAGTAGTCATTCTTTTTTTTTTTTTTAAAGATTTTATTTATTTATTTGAGAGAGAGAGAATGAGAGAGAGCACATGAGAGTGGGGAGGGTCAGAGGGAGAGGCAGACTCCCCGCGGAGCAGGGAGCCCAATGCGGGACTCGATCCAGGGACTCCAGGATCATGACCTGAGCCGAAGGCAGTCGCTTTAACCAACTGAGCCACCCAGGCGCCCCCTAGTAGTCATTCTTGATGATGACAACAAATTACAAATTTATAATTACAAATCACAACAAATTATCATGAAAGTAATCCATTCTCAAATCTAACTGAAGGGTTTAGATTACAAGAGAAAGTCAGAATTCAAGATCAAATTATGACTCAAAGTTTCAGAATTTTTAAACATACTGAAAAATATTAGTAGGGACTCGGACGTTTGTATGCCAATATTCACAGCAGCATTACTAACAATAGCCAAAAGGTGGGAAAACTCAATTGTCCACTGCCAGATAGATAAATAAAATGTGGCATGTATAAAATATTGCTTATCTTAGACTACCACAATCTTTTTTATTACAATCTTACTATAAAAATTATTACTTTACGAATTCAGTCAACTTCATCTATAAAGAGGAATTATACTACCAGTAGCAAGTAGCAACAATATGAATACAATAAACATTTTTATTAGTGAGAATTTTCATATTATCCTAAATGGTCTTATATACTACTACTAGAGAAATAAAAATTCCTTTTCAGTAGGACAGAAATTAAGAGACTGACTTACCAAACTTGTACTTAACAGGTTTTCCTGAGGTTGTTCAATTTTGCACGCTTGTTTTTTGACTGTAACTTTTAACTTGGCATTTTCAACTTCAAACCTAAAATGAGTATTTTAAAATTTATCTCACACATAAAAATTTAAAAGTACCGTATAATTTCTAAACAAACATCTGTCTTACATAAATTCTTAAAAATTTAAAAAGTAGAAGATTTGGCAATTGTGCCATTTCTCTGGTTGTGTTTTATAGTTAATGTGCAAAACTTAAAGATAATATGCAAAATTTATGCATTTCCAAATAGCGCAAAGCTGAAATTTTTATCCAGCTTAACAATGATGTAATTATATTAACTGATATATTTCTCATTCTACCCTGCTTCTCTGCTTTATAAATACTCAAGTTATTTTCTGTGCTGCTTTAAATTGTACTTTTGCACGTGATCTTTCGACGTCTCAATACATCTTACAGCCTCTGCATGTCGATCTTGTGCTTCTTGCAACTAAAAAAGAAAAAAAAGAAATACTTTTAACTACTGGCAATCTAGTATAAAACCACCATCAGCTGTTTTTGTAAATAAAATTTTAGTGGACACAACCACACTCTCCTCTACATACTGCTTTATGGCTACAGCAGATTTGAACTGCTGCAACAGAGACCTATGGCCTACGAAGCCTAAAATATTTACAGGGAGTCTGCTTCTCTCTATCTCTCCCTTTGCCCTTCCCCACTGTTCCTTCTCTCTCTCAAATAAATAAAATCTTAAAATAAAATATTTACAATCCCCTTACAGAAAAGTTTGCTGACTTCTCTAGTTACTAAAATGTCACATTTTTAATGTTTTTAAATTATATTTTATCAGCTAAATCTACGAATTTATATATGGGTCAAAGGGGGAAAGATAGGAAATTATCTTATGGTAAACATTTCTATTTTTGTATTCGAAGTACCACATCAATTATACTTTTAAATATTCACATATGTGATGACCATGGCTGTTCCAGTGCTTATAAAAGTTAACATGTTGCTTTCAGTGACAACTAGATATTTCATGGAATAGTATGAGAGGCATTATCGTCGTAGGAACCAGAATGCCTGGGGTCTGAATCCCAACTCACTAGGTATTAGCTGTGTGACCTGGAACAAATTACTTAAAATTTCTGTGTCTCAGCTTCTTCTCTATAAAATGAAGATAAAAATAGTATCTACCACACTGGCATGTTGGGAAGATTAATTTAGGAAATTTACATGAACTATTTTTTTTATTTTTATTTTTTAAAGATTGTATTTATTTGACAGAGAGAGAGAGACAGCGAGAGACGGAACACAAGCAGGGGGAGTGGGAGAGGGAGAAGCAGGCTTCCTGTGGAGCAGAGAGCCCAATGCAGCACTTGATCCCAGGACCCTGGGATCATGACCTGAGCCAAAGGCAGACACTTAACGACTGAGCCACCCAGGTGCCCCTATACATGAACTATTTAGAAGGGCATGTGGCACACACCAAATTCTGTCTGCAATTAGCATTATTATTGTTGCTGTAGGTTATGTTCTAATAATATTTCATATTTTAGGCAGATGGTAGGCCAATGAAAGTGGTCTCTTATACAAGTTACACTGAAATCGTTCTTCATACCACTGAAAGTGGCAGCAAATGGGGAGCATGAGGCCCAGAATACATCCTCCATACTTCAAAAAACTTTTACCAATTCCACTAGCTAACAGTACTTTTTTCCACTTATAATAATTTTAACTTACTGCCTCTCTATACTACTCAGTGGACAATCTCATGGACTACAGGGTAAATAGTACCTCCTAGACTGAGTAATAAATATTTACATGACCATCAGAGGCAAGGTAAAGCCACTGACGTGGAAATAATGGACTCTTGCTAAATCAACATTCCCAAATCATTTCATGTTTATATTATCTTAACAACTGTCTCTGTTACACTGCTTTGGCAAGTACTCTGATGAATACATTAAGGCTATGTGATATGGCATATCAGAAAAAACTGTCCCCAGGGGCGCCTGGCTGGCTCAGTGGGAAGAACGTGACTCTTGACTTTGGGCTCATGAGTTCAAGCCCCACGATGGGTGTAGAAATTACATAAGTAAATAAATACACAAACAAACAAACTTTAAAAAAGAAAGGTTAAAAAAAAAAAAAAGAAAGAAAGAAAAGCTGTGCCCGGAGCTTTATAGTTGGTAAAGTAATCTCAGTACTGGCTGCAAAATGAAGAAAGGCAAATTTAGACGGCTCTTCCACAGTGAGGGAGGAGAAACAAGCATTTGAACACTTCTCCTCTGTCAGATTAAATGCTTTCAATTTTACATTTAATTGCTTAAAATACATTTAGAATAAAAGCTTTGTTATGTCAATGCTTTCAATCAGAAATTATTGATACGGTATGAATACTTAATTTTATCCTAAACACTGTTAAGTTAAAATATTTTCAATTTATACAAGGATAGGTACCATGCATATCCCATATTTTCCCCCTTAGATAAATGTGTACGTAGACAAAATTATCTATCATGAAAAAAATAAAACCAATGTAAAATAAAGGACTAAATTGTTCTGCATAGACTAGATGAGACACGTGTGAAGAGATTAAAGTCAGTGGGAATTAGAATAGTCAGAGAGAGCTTCCTGGAGAATGAGAGACTATGAGCCAGGTCTGAATAGTGTAAGATTATGCAAGAGGAAGGGAAACTAAAAGGACAGAAAGGACAGCATGAGTAAAAGGCTGACAGATGGTGAAATCAACCCAATTACCTCAGAGGATAAAATCTGATGGCAGGGAAATAAAAACAGATGTCCAGACAACAATTAAATCAATGTTCAGAGCAGCATTATTAATGGCCATAAAGTGGGAAACAACCCAAAGGTGCATCAAATGATGAATGAACAAGGGTTTTGGCCCACAATGGAGTACTGTTGGACAATTAAAAAAAAAAATGAAGCACTGATATATGCTATAACACAGATGAACCCTGAAAACATTAAGTGAAAGAAGCTAGTCACAAAGGACCACACACTGTGTGACCCCCCTTTATATGAAATATTCAGAATAGGCAACTCTATAGAGGGTGGAAGTAGACTGGTGGTTGCCTGAGGCTGGGGGCTCAAGGGCTAAGGGTTTCTTTTCAGGGTGATGAAAATGTTCTACTTGATGGCAGTGATAGTTGCACAACTCTATGAATATGATCAGAAACACTGAACTATACATGTTAACTGGGTGAATTGTATGGTATGGGCATTATATCTCAATAAAGTTTTTAAAAAATCCAATGGGGGCGCCTGGGTGGCTCAGTCATTAAGCGGCTGCCTTCGGCTCAGGTCATGGTCCCAGGGTCCTGGGATCAAGCCCCACATCAGGCTCCTTGCTTGGCGGGAAGCCTGCTTCTCCCTCGCCCACTCCCCCTGCTTGTGTTCCCTCTCTCACTGTGTCTCTCTCTGTCAAATAAAATCTTAAAAACAAAACAACAAAAAAACAACGGCAGGACCCATTCTTAATTTCTTAATTCTCTCTTTTGGGTGTATATACCACACATGATCTGAATATTTCTATGCATTTACAATATATCTAAAAGGAAAAGAAAATGAAGGAAACACCTAAGTTCAACTGGTTTGTAAAATGACTTTTCTGTACAAGTTATCCTAAATTCAGTACAGATTCTGTATCCGTTCATAAAAGTGAACATGAGAAATAAGACCATTGTCTGAAACATTCCATTAAAGATTATCTTCTGATTTTGTATGGCTCACCTCATCATGGTAACAGAGATATCATTAAAAAACATTGCACCTGGGTGGCTCAGTTGGTTAAACATCCAACCCATGATTTCAGCTCAGGATCATGGAATCGAGCTGGCGTGGGGCTCTGTACTGGGCAGGGAGTCTGCTTGAGATTCTCTCCCTCTCCCTCTGCCTCTCCCCCAACTCATGTGTGTGCATGCGCACACGCTCTCGCTCTCTCTCAAATACTACATAAATCTTTAAAAAAATTGTACAATAGGAAAAAAAAGTCCCTCAATTTCTGTGAGGAATGATGAATCAGTTTCAACTTTCCTAAGGGTAAATACTGTAAGAAAAAAAAATGTATAACACAAATAGCAGAATGAAAGTCAAAGTTTAAGAAATAAGTGCATTGTGAAGATACTAAAATTACACTAAATTATAATGACAATACAAAAGAAAATGGTTCATAGAAATTAGCATCCTAAAACACTTTGTATTAACCTGCTACAGATTAACTGTTGACATGCTACATTTAATACATACCTGACTTCTGATTTGACCTAATTTCTTCCTCAAATCCTGTGTCTCATCTTCTAAATTAATACGGCAATGTGATGTAACCTCCAGCGAAGCCTCTGACATAGACTGTTTTTTTTAGGGCATCAGCCAGTTCTAGTTGAAGGTGTCTCACAGCTACCTAATAAGACGTTTCTGCTACTGATTTTATAAATTATCTTACTATTAAGTTATATTAATAATATATAACTCTAACATATGTACTTCGAAAAATATCACAACATATAGGTGTTATCCTCCTGCCTAGTCAGTGTTATGTTACTTAGATAATTAATTCAGCCCCACTCTCCATTCCTTGTTGATGAATCTGCAAAGCTTCCCACCCTACTGAAGTCTCAAAAAGAAATGGGTATATAGGTGGGCCTAGCAGTGGTAAATTCTACATGATGCCATGGTTTCCCTCTTTTTTATTAGAGGCTTAAATTAATGTCAAACTTCCTCACGTATTCAATCCTCTGCTCAAATCCTTCCAATACATTACTATCTCAGAACAAGAGTGAAGTCATGCTAATGGGCTTCAAGGCCCTAGATAACCTGGCTTTCACCTCCCTCCCTGGCCTCCATTCCTGCTACAGTACAAGAATCCTGCCACCCCTCATTAGTCTGAAAATGGAGATCCAATGCCAAATTAAAATATTACAGATACAATTCTCTTTGTATTGGACAAACTTATGCCCAAATGATAGTCATTGAGCTTTGAAATAAGCAAATTATTTGTAAAATTGCCTTAAAAAATTATAAATAGCAGTGGGAAGATTAAATCAAACAGTTTTGCTAAAGCTCTCCACAGTTGTCCCAAATTACGATTTAATGAAAAGTGCCTGCAAAGGGTTAAAAGGTCATAAGACACATGATTTCAGACTAAAAATTCAAATTTATATAAATAAAAATAAAATTATTTCAACCTAAAATGTATAAAAAGCTACCAAAGGAAAAGTACTGAGATACAGTGTCTACACTTCAGTTCATGTGGGAAATCTGGAGTAAACCGTCAAGTGAATCCACTTAATTGAATCTCAATTTCAACATGCTCATTGCAGGTATGAACATTTCCATTTGTCTGTTCATCATGATATTAAAATGTGGTAACAAAGATTAAAATTATTATTTTGCAGTATAAGACTAAATTATTAGTATCAGCCTACTATTAACAATTTATAACTTAACCTCTTAAACTTTCAAAGATGACACAACAATTTTATTCAAATTAAAGCCCCTCTCAAGTCTAGTTTTTATTTGCTGGATCCAAGTTATGCTGAATCATAGTCTATATATTTTTTATATTCAAGTAGATTCAAAATTCAGCCATAATCATTCAGGTCATGATCTCGGGGGCATGAGGTGGAGTTCTCTGATGTGGAGACCTCTTGGGATTCTCTCTCTCTCCCCCTCTGACCCACTCCCATTCATGTGCAGGTGCACTGTTTCTCTCTAAAAATAATAATAATAATAAAATTCTACTTTGAATTTTCTCTTAGAAAGCTTGAAAAATATTTATCTTTCTGGATACTAACTTCTCTTTCTACTTTCTCCTTTTCATACTGATACATTCTTCCTTTTAAAAGATTACATTAATTGATTAGCTCTCTATTGCTTGCTTCCAGCAAAAGACTGTGTTTTTCACTTTCAGCTTGAAGTTTTTCTATGATACCCTGAAACTGGTCTTGGATATTAATTAGTACATTTTCTTTACTGGCAGCTTTGTTGTGAGCATCATCTAGTTGCTGATGAAGCAGCATATTTTCACTTTGTAGTTGAGATAATCTCTCCACTAAGGATTCCTGCTTTCCAATGTATTTATTCACTTGATCTTGTTCATTTTGATACATGTGTTCCATTTCCTTTTTCTGACACTGTGTTTGACTTAGGTCTCTCTGTACACATTCTAGAACCAAAGTCTTTTCCCTGAGAGCATCTCTTGTGTGATGGAGCTCAATTTCTAAACTATTGAATTTACTTTCAGCTTTAGAAAGGTTTTGAGAAAGAAGCTCATTGTTTTCTTTTAGGTTAGACACATCAAAATTCAGTTTGTCCTGCAGACGAAACCATTCATCTTTTGTTCTCTGGAAAGCAAGTTCTAGGTCTCTTTTTGATGCCTGACTTTGATCATAATCCTCTAGAGCAGTAGCTAGTCTAGCTCGATATGATCCAACTTGTGTGTCCAGTCTTTCTTTGTTTTGCTTTTCATTCTCCAGTTTAGACTTTAGCATTGTATTCTCAGTGGTCAGGGCATTAATCTGTCCACTATATTCTAATATTGTTTTTGTTAATGTTTCCTCATTCAGTTTTATGGTCTTTAGAAGACTGACATTCTTTTCTTTTATAATTTCAATGTCTTCACAATATTTACTTTCCATTCCCTGGTTCTTATTGTTTATTGTGTCTATTTCTAGTCTTAGCATGGTAATTTCATCCTGCCACATGTGGGTTTTAGGCAACAGATCTTTTTCTTCTTTATGACTATTAGACATCTTAGTAAAACAAAGGAGACTTTTAGCTGGAACTCAATAAAATGACATTATCCTGATTTTCTCTGAAATTAAAGAATAACCTATGTTTATACAATGAACAGATTGCAGTAAGTGGATATCCCAACTGGAAAAAAATAAAGTGGGGTCCAAACCTCAAACTTGATACAAGCATAAATTCCCAAAGTTTCAAAAATTTAATTGAAGACAGTGAATGCATGAAAGGAGAAAAGAAATCAAGACACAATTTTTAAGAATCTCAGACCTGCAAAGGTCTTTCTCTGATTTACAACAAACCCAGAAAGCCTGACATAAAAGATTAATAAATCTGATTACACTAAAAATTGAATTTACAGTCTCATATCTAACACAGCTACCCCACGATAAAATCCAGAGCTCTGCCTTTATTTTGACAGATTCAATTTCCTAAAATTCTTTTTTCCTGACAATATTCCATACAAATTCTACTTTTCTAACATTTCTATAGTCACGTATAAGAATTACATCTACTGATAACTGACAAATCTAGGCACTGTACTATAAACACTTCGACCGACATCAGTGAACTTTTTAGTATCACAAATCTAGAATGGAGAGGTTTAAAACATTAAGCGAGCTACAGGACTTTCCCCAGGTCTTCTTACTCCACTACTAGTCTCTTACACCAAACCGCAGCTCTTCTCTAGTGTAAATCATACATACAAAAGAAGCCTTATATTTCAAAATACTGATGGTAAATAATGTAAAATTTATACAACTGTTAGAAAAATCATGAGATTATTTGCTGATGCAATAAATTTTATTTCCTCTTCATGATGTTTTAAATAGTGGAAAATACATGGAGCTATTTTATTAGGAATAAAACACTCATCAATAAATTATCATTAGCATATAATTGTTTTAAAAGTGCCTTGTAATGAAATAGGATATTACTTGGAGCAAATTGCTACTTTTCTCAAAAGTAGAGACTAAATCCAAAAGAAAGTCTCTCAACAGGCTACACTCTTCTCCTGTTCATCAGTGGCAGTGTTAAGCTAACTTCTCTTTCAATACAGAGGTGATGAAGTAACTGCCAAAAATTGAAACATATGTTGTTAGTAGCAATAGTTTTGAGCATATGGAAAGCTCAACAATTCTTATGGAAAGTAATAAAAGCCTCTCCTTTGGATGAGGACATGATGAATGTCACTATTTGACTCTTGCAGACAAACGCATTTAAATTAAGGATATTACTTTATCCACTGGACCAAAAATGTCACCACCCCCTATGGCCCCCAAATACACACACACACATACACACACACACATATATATGCTTTAAAATCCTCTATGCTTTCCATGATCTACAGTGTTGGTTTTTAAAATATATATATGCTACATGGAGAAAAAATAATAATTTATACATATAAATACATACACACATGTACTTAAAAATAACTAAAGAAAATACCCCAGAATTCATTCTGTTATTACCCACTTCTATCTCCTTTTGTTTGCAAAGGTGATTCTTTAGAATTCCATCTTGTACTCTGGCATTCTGTTCTCGAGAAAGTTGTAACTTAGCGTCATTTCGCTCTTCTACAACCTAGAAACATATTTTCATTAGGATTTTGGCTCACACCATTAAAAAAAAAAGTCAGGGACGCCTAGGTGGCTCAGTAAGTTAAGCGGCTGCCTTCAGCTCAGGTCATGATCCCAGGTCCTGGGATCGAGACCCACATTGGGCTCCCTGCTTGGTGGAGAGTCTGCTTCTCCCTCTCCCTCTCCCTGCCTCTCTGCCTACTTGTGCTCTCTCTCTGTCTGCCAAATAAATAAATCTTTAAAAAAAAAATCAAAATCTTAAGAGAACTTAAAAATAATGTTCAAAAGAAGTAGCCTTTTTAAATACAAGGATTTTATCCTGAATGAATAACTCAAATTTTAATTTAAATGACAGCTAAATTTGTCATAAGGTAAAAATACAAGAAGATATAGTATGTGAAAGTAAAATTTCTTTACAAAACATTTAACTAGTTCCATCATAGTCTCAAGGCGATTGAGCCTGTACTTTAACATAAAAAATTCAAAACTGGGGTGCCTGGGTGGCTCAGTTGGTTAAGTGTCCTACCCTTGGTTTTGGCTCGGGTCATGGTCTCAGGGTTGTAAGATCCAATCCTGAGTCGGGCTCTTCATTCAGCACAGAGTCTGCTTGAGATTCTTTTCCCTCCCTCTCCCTCCCCCTTTACTCCTTCCCTTGCTCATGCTCTCTCTCTAAAAATAAATAAAATCTTAAAAAAAAAAAGCCAACATTCACATTTATCTCAATTTACCCTCTATCCCTTCATTCAGAAAATATATAGAGAGCATATATGAGAGGCCAAGAATTCCAATAAGTTAATAATTTTAGCTAAAAATATTATACTTCCTATTAGGATAAAATTAAATTTTTTATCTATTTTATACCTAAATAATATACATTAAATCAAGGGTATATTATAAATAATACTGATGGAAATATGCAATTTTTATCAAAGATTTACCTGATCCAAATTATTTCTCACAGTCCTCAATTCCGCACCTACTGTTGCAAGACGAAGTTCAAGTTGTTGTTTCATTTCAACTTCTTTATTATACGGCTCTTCTTTTTCTCTGAATTGCTCCCTCATTTTTTCATATAATTTATCAGCATTTCTTCTTTTTTCTTCTTCTTGTGTGAAGGTAAATCTGCAAATAAATGTGCTTATTTTAAAATGTTTTGAAAGCAATAAAAAGTTCATTTTATGATCTGGTTCCACATATGTTGGTTTATTAGCCAAATGAAATTTCTATGTTCTCAATTTTTTTCCTTTCTCGGGCTCATGTTTACTTTCTCACTTCAATCTCTTCCAAAAAATATATATAGTTGAAAAGAAGCAATGAGAAAGCATTATGCAGCTTAGTAATAAGTTTTAGTACTAACTCTGGTAGATATTGTAGAGAAAGGAATTTTGAAATTTTTCAAGAAAGCTAGAATTAAAATTATCATTTTCTCCATATAGTCATAATTACTCCTCCATTAGAACAGATAATTTAGTTACTAAATAAAAAGAGAAGTTGCTCTTTATAAGAAAGTTTATAAATTCACTAGAAGTAAATTTCTACTTCACAAAACATCACAGGTACCTCCAAAAATAATTTGCAGTATAAGACAGCATCTGCAGATGTCATTTACACAACATACACCTGTAGATTACGGTGATCCAGGACTAGGTTGGGGAGTCTAATATCTATACATTTTATATAGATAGCCCTATACATTTTATGTTTCTTCTTCTGCAATATTCTCAATTTACCCTGTTGATTATTATTCATTTTACTTTTTTTAAAGATTTTATTTATTTATTTGACAGAGAGAGAGCACAAGCAGAGGGAGCAGCAGGCAGAGGGAGAGGGAGAAGTAGGCTCCCCACCGAGCAGAGATCTGGAAATGGGGCTTGATCCCAGGACCCTGGGATCATGACCTGAGCCGAAGGCAGACCCTTAACCAACTGAGCCACCCAGGCGCCCCTATTATCCATTTTATAAATCATTTGAAAACCCCTTTTAGAACACAGGATCCATATTAATTAAGGAAACAATAAAGAGTTATATGTGCTTACAGCATAGACTTTTGGATTAATTTTATAAGAGAGATTTTGAAAAAACTTAGCAGTAATCATTTTCCATTTTACTTTTTAATCGCTGCATATGTTTAAAACTGAATAAATTTTTAAAATTTTTCCTATCTTGAGATAAATGGCCATTTCATACTCTGTTGATGGGCATATAAATTAATATAAACTTCCCAGAGAACAATTTAAAAATAGAATCAAAGACCTCCTTTAAAAATTTTTATACTTTAAACAAACAATACTATATTGAAGAATTTATTCCAAGTAAGTAACCAGAATTTTAGAAACAGATTTATATAAAAGACATTCCTTACAACACTTAGAGAAAAATGGAAAATAACCAAAATGCAATTTGTTAAATAATGAGGATTCCATATGGTGTACTTCTATATGGTCATTAAAATTATGATTTGGAATATACATTAAATTATCAGTAGAAGTATTCACTGTCAAGAACTTGCTGAATTATTTTGAAGAATCTCATACGTCACACTACTAAAGACGTTTTCTTTCCTATAAAAATTCCAGAAGGTAAGTTAGCAATTATCAAACTTCTCCTACACATCTGTAGTACAAAAGTAAAGAGTTCAAGGGGCACCTGGCTGGCTCAGTTGGTAGAGCATGCGACTCTTGACCTCACAGCTGTGAGTTCAAGCCCCACATTGGCTGTGGAGCCTCTTAAAAAAAAAAAAAGGTAAATAGTTCAAATATTTCCTTGAAACCAAGATGTCATACCTCAAACTGCCGAGTTCTTGTTCCCATTTCACTTTTTGATGCTCCAACTGCAATTTCAATTCTTTTGTTTCTGATAGCTCCTTTTGTAGTCCATTAACTTTATTTTGCATTTCTTTATTTTTTCTTTTAAGTTGTTTACACTGATTTTTAAGTTCTAATTTTTGATATGAAAGAATCGCATCCTAGATTTTTAGTAAAGTAGTAGAATCTACATCAGAGAGAAAACAAAAACAAATAAAATATATAGGGCGCCTAGGTGGCTCAGTTGGTTAAGCGTCGAACTCTTGGTTTCGGCACAGGTCATAATCTCAGACTTGTGGGATCGAGCCCCACGTCGGGCTCCACACTCAGCACAGAGTCTGCTTGAGATTCTCCCCCCGCCTTCCCCTCTGTTCTTCTCTCCCACCCCCACTCATGCTCTCTTTCTCTCAAGTAATTTAATTAAATCTTTAAAAAAAAAGAAATAAAATATGTGAGTACTTTTTGCATATAAAGGACTGTGTGCTTTCACATTCACTCACTCATACTTTAAACAAATATATATTGAATGACTTCAATATAAAAGATATTTTAGGGGTGCCTGGGTGGCTCAGTCAGTTAAGTGTCTGCCATCAGCTCAGGTCATGATCTCAGGGTCCTGGGATCGAGTCCCGTGTCAGACTCCCTGCTTACTGGGGAGTCTGCTTCTCCCTCTGCCCTGCCCCATCCCCTCTCGTGCACTCTCACTCTCCTTCTCTCAAATAAATGAATAAAATCTTTAAAAAAGAAAAGAAAAAATGACCAAAACCTTTCTAAGTAATGAAAACTATAATACCACAGATCCAGAAGAATCTGGCTAGGAGAGAAGAAATGGAAGTAAGCTATTATAGTTTTCTTAAACTACTATGATGGGGCATAACATTACTCAAAGGTGGACTGTGATGCTTAAGTCATATACTTTAAACCCTAATCACTAAAATAGCACAACTAAAGAGTTATAGCTAGAGTAAGCAAAATACATACATATACATACTCACATAAATAAAACTAAATCATAAAAATTACTTGATTAATTTAAAAGACAGCAGAAAAGGAAGAGAATAGGAGCAAAAAGCAGAAAGGACAAATGGAAGTCAAACAACACGATGACAGATTCAAATCAACGACCTCAATAATCACATTAAATGAAAATGGTCTAAAAGCCTCAATTAAAAGGCAGACTGTCAAAATGGATGAAAAAGGAAGACCCAACTATATGCCACCTATTAAAAAATACGCTTTAAGTGTAGAGACACACATTTTTTAAAAGGCCAGAAATATGACAGACCACACTAACAACTTGACAAAAGAAGGCTGAGCCTGAGTGGCTATATTAATACCAGACAAAATAGATTTCAAAGCAAAAAACACTAGCAGCAATAAATAAGGTCATTTTATAATGATAGAAGGGTCAATTAAAAGAAGCATAACAAACCTAAATGTTTATGCATCTATTAATAGGTTCAAAAATACAGAAAGCAAAAATTGATAGAATTAGAGAATTAGAGAACTAGAGAAACAGGCAAATTCACAGTTATAGTCTGAGATTTCAATAGGCAGAAAATCAGCAAGGGTATAGTAGACTGGAACACCACCATTCTTCTCAAGTATCCATGGAACACTTACCAAAAGAGACTATATTTTGGGTCATAAAATAAATTGTAATAAAAGGAGTCAGTCAAAAGGACTGAAGTCATGAAAGTGTGCTCTGCGACCACAAACTAATTAACACACATCTGAATAACCCCTAGGTCAGGGCACCTGGGTGGCTCAGTTGATGAAGCGTCTGCCTTCAGCTCAGGTCATGATCTCAGGGTCCTGGGATCAAGCCCCACATTTGGCTCCCTGCTCAGAGGGAAGGCTGCTTCCCCTCCAGCTCATGCTCTCTCTGTCTCTCTCTCTCTCTCAAATAAATAAAATCTTTAAATAACCCCTGGGTCAAAGAAGGACTGAAAAAAGAAATTAGAAAGTATTCTGAACTGAATACACATAACATGTTAGAATTTCTGAAACCCTGCTATACTAGCACTCATATGAGCATTTACAGCACTGAATGTATATTTTAAAAAAGAAGAAAAGTCTTAAATTGATGACCTTTGGCTCCACCTTAAGAAATTAGTAAAAGAGCAGTTAAAGTTTGATAACCTTTGGTTATGTAGAAAATCTGACAGAATTTTTTAAAAAGCTACTAGAACTAATAAATGAACTCATCAAGTTTGGAGAAGAGAGAATCATTATACAAAAATCTACTGTATTTCTACATATTAGCAATAAAAAATTAAAATTTAAGAATTAAAATTAATTTTAATTAATTAAAAAATTGAAACTGCATTGCAAAATAAAAAATAACCACAGGTAATATCATAAAGGATAAAAAGACCTATACACTAAAAACTACAAAATATTACCAAGAAAATTAAAGAAGATTTATATAATTGGAGAGAGATACTCTGTTTGGGGTTGAAAAATTCAATATTGTTAAAATTAGTCTGTAGATTCAACATAATCCAAACCTGATCTCCAGAAGACCACCAGAATGGTGTTTTTTTTTTTTAGGAAATGACAAGCTGACTCTAAAATTCATGTGGAAAACATAAATAAATAAAATAAATACAATTCATGTTCTGGAAACAGAAAGGATCTAGAATAGAATAGCAAAAGAAACCTGAAAAAGAACAAAACTGGAGGACTAACACTAACTACCTGATTTCAAAAATTATCATAAACTGGTAGTAATTAAAACAGCATGATACTTACATCAAGAAGGCCAAAGAATTCAATGGGACAGAATAGAGTCCATAAATAAACCCCCACACATATGGTCAACTGATCCTGACAAAGACACAATGGCATGAAGTGGAGAAAATATAGCCTTTTCAACAAATGGTGCTGGAACTGGATATCCATATGCAGAAAGAATGAACCTGGACCCATGCTATGCATCATAAGTAAAAAAAAAAAAGAATACAAAATGGAGGCGCCTGGGGGTCTCGGTTGAGTGACTGCCTTGGCTCAGGTCATGATCCCAGGGTCCTGGGATCAAGCCCCATGTCCAGCTCTCTGCTCAGCGGGAGCCTGCTTCTCCCTCTCCCTCAGCCTGCCACTGCCCCTGCTCATGCTTTCTCTCTCTCTGTCAAATAAATAAATAAAATCTTAAAAAAAAAATACAAAATGGATGACATGGATCACATGGATCACAGATCTAAATGTAAGACCTAAAACTATAAAACTTTGTTTTTAAACTACGAAACTTCTAAAAGAAAGCATGAGAGAAAACCTCTGACTTTGTGCTAGGCAAAGCTTTCTTAGATAGGAACACCGAAAGCAAAAAATGCATAGAAGAACAAATGGATAAACTGGATTTCATCAAAAAGAAAAACTGCTCTTCAAAAGACACTGTTGAGAGAATGAAAAGTCACAGATTGGGAGAAAATCTTTACAAAAAAATATAGGTGAGGGACGCCTGGGTGGCTCAGTTGTTAAGCATCTGCCTTCGGCTCAGGTCATTATCCTGGGGTCCTGGGATCGAGCCCCACATTGGGCTTCCTGCTCAGCGGAGAGTCTGCTTCTCCCTCTCCCACTCCCCCTGCTTGTGTTCCCTCTCTAGTGTCTCTCTGTCAAATTAATAAAATCTTAAAATATATATATACATGATAAAGGAACTATATCTAGAATATAGAAAGAATTCTCAAAACAAGTAAGAAAACAACCTAATTTTTAAAATGACAAAGGATTTGGATAGTTCAAAGCAGATACACAAATGCCAAATAAGCACATGAAAATATGATCAACATTATCAGTTATTAGGGAAATGTATATTAAAACCGTAATGGGTAAAGTAGGCAAGATGGCGGAGGAGTAGGAGACCTGGATTTCATCTGCTCTTAGGAATTCAGCTGGATAGGGATCAAACCATTCTGAACACCTACAAACTCAACAGGAGATCGAAGAAAAGAATAGCAACAACTCTCTGAACAGAAAAGCGACCACTTTCTGGAAGGTAGGACGTGCGGAGAAGTGAATCCGAGGCGATATTCGGGAGGATAGATGGCGGGGGAGGGGCCTCCGTGGGCCACTTCTGGCAAGTGATAGAACCACGGAGCATAAAATCGGAACTTTTAGAAGTCTGCTCCGCTGAGGGACATCACTCTGGTGGCTAAGTGGGGGGTGGAACCCTCGTGGGACAGTGTGGTCTCAGGACCCTCAGGGTCACAGAAAGACCGGGGGTCCCTGAGTGCGGCAGAGCTCCCAGGTATCGGAGCGGGAAGCCGGCTGCAGAGTTGGAGCCGAGGCGTGGGCTCTCAGCTCGGGGTTGCTATAAACCATGATCCGTGGCACAGTCGGGCCACTGCTCCTCCAGCAGAGACCCAACAAGAGGCAGATCTGGGGAGACTCACCTTCCTTCCCTGGGAGGAGCGGCACGGGAGTGCACCGCAGGGATCTGCTGGGTTTGGAGACTCCACACCGAGTCGGGTGCCAGGGATACAAACGCGCGGTCAGAGGCCGGGTGAGCATGGAATGTGGCCGGAGACCGGGGAGACGGGAGTAACGGACTACTTTTCTCTGGTGGTGCACTGAGGAGTGGGGCCCCGAGTTCTCGGCTCCTCCGGGGCGGAGATTGGGAGGCCGCCATTTTCACTCTCCGCCTCCAAAGCAGTATGGAAAGCTTGAAGGGAAAAAAAGCTCCAGAGAGCAAACCCGAGCAGATTACTTAGCCCAGACGGGGGAAAGGGCGGGGCAATTCCGCCTCTGGCAAAGACATTTGGGAACCACGGCAACAGGCCCCTCCCCCAGAAGATCAGCGAGAACAGCCAGCCAAGACCAAGTTTACCGATCAATGAGAATGGCAGAACTCCTGCACTAGGGGAATACTGCACATAGAATTCATGAGTTTTTTACCATGATTCTTTAGTCTTTCAAAGGTAATTATTTTTTTTAACTGTTTTTTTTTTTTTTGAATTTTTCTTTTTCCCTTTTTCAACCAACATCTTATCAATCCCTTTTTTAAAAAACATTTTTATTTTTCATTTTTAGAGTCATATTCTATCCCTTCATAGTAGTTACCTGTATTTTTGGCATATATATATATATAAGTTGTTCTCTCCTTAAAATTTTGAGATAGTTTCTTCTAACAGATCAAAATACACCCTAAATCTCTAGTGTATGGTTTTTTTTTACTCCCCTGCCTGA